GCCCGCCATCGCATAATTTCAAAGGTACATGGGAGCTAAGTTGGATTGGTATTAAAGGGAGACAATCTTCTGTCATCGTCGGATTGGTTTGTAAGCGTTTGTCCACGGGTGGAATGCGCTCGCGGAGAAGGGAAACGTTGTCCACCGGACAGGTCTGAGTTCTGAACGATGTAGCCTAGCCTTCAGTACGACCAACACAGTCTCCGCGGCGAACTCTTTTTGTTTTCAGAGGCACATTGCTGTCAGCCGAAAACCATGCGATTTCAGCTGATCCGGTTTAGGGCAAGACCGGAAAATTTTCCGCCAGACAGACACTCTGGTTTCTCTTCACATCGAGTAAATCTTTCGCCTTTTACTAAAGATTTCCGTGGAGAGGAGCATTATAAATGAGTCTTAGAAGACTATTTTTCACGCCCTACGCTGTAGGGTGAATATTTCCAATGTAAACATGAGTGGGTGACTACATCATTTGTTTTTTTTAACCCTGGGATAGAAAATGAACCCTGCCGTTGGGAGGTTTCGTTTCCTTTGGCACGTTTTTCCGTGGCCTTGGACGGAACCGGACAACTCTTGTCCGATGGCCATGCATAATTAGTGAGTACATAAATCAAAAAAGATTTCAAATACGTCTAGGTTCAGTGCCGAAGAACCAAATCAAAACCAACTACTGTTCTGTCTAGACTTTATTATTATTATTATTATTTTTTTAAACAACTCACTCGTTTCGATTCCAACAAACAACAGTTCAGACTGCTGGCAGAACGACAACAGTCGGTCACGCGCCTCAAAGCAATGGCGTCATTTTATTTTTTGTTAGTTGGGTGACGTGTACTTCCCCTAACAGTTTAGTCTCAAGAAAGCTAGGCGGCCCGCCATCGCATAATTTCAAAGGTACATGGGAGCTAAGTTGGATTGGTATTAAAGGGAGACAATCTTCTGTCATCGTCGGATTGGTTTGTAAGCGTTTGTCCACGGGTGGAATGCGCTCGCGGAGAAGGGAAACGTTGTCCACCGGACAGGTCTGAGTTCTGAACGATGTAGCCTAGCCTTCAGTACGACCAACACAGTCTCCGCGGCGAACTCTTTTTGTTTTCAGAGGCACATTGCTGTCAGCCGAAAAACCATGCGATTTCAGCTGATCCGGTTTAGGGCAGACCGGAAAATTTTCCGCCAGACAGACACTCTGGTTTCTCTTCACATCGAGTAAATCTTTCGCCTTTTACTGAACGTGACCTAGTTTCAAGATTTGTGTTCATTTATATTTCGTGGACTGTGTTCTGTGTTTTAACTGTGACACATTTCAAACACCACAGTGAGTATGTCATCAACCATTAAACTTTACCATCCCTGGCCTACCCACCAGCCTACACCTTCCAAGAACTTTAAAAGTTGAAATAAAGTTCAGAGCCGGAAGCACCATCCACGTGGATGATAGAGTTATCGAAATTGTAACTCAGGCTGTCACCAAAATAAACCCTGATGAGATTTTAAAAGTCTACAATCTAGGACGGCCCACAGAGTGGTACGTCACCCTTAAAAGTCAGGAAGTGTACACCACTCTCCACATGCGGGAATTCACCACCAATGACTACGGCATAACACAAGTGGTGTTTACCCACGTGGACAAGCCTGTGTTGTACGGTGAACTCCACTGGGTACCACCGACGTTTACCGAAGACACGGTTACAAAAATAGTAGAAAATTTCGTCATCCCCAACACCCAGATTACTGTTAAACCTCTCAGAAAAGGAGATAGATGGGCGGTAATCATCAACTCTAAGATGCCGGTTGAGAAACTACCCCATTATCTTGAAGTGGTAATGGGAGATCTTACCCACACCATGTTGCTTCTGTTTAGAGGCAGAAGGCAAAACTGCCATCTATGCCACACCAGCAGACATCACCCAGGCCAATGCAGAAGAGAAGATATCAGATCAAGGGATGACATCATCTTGACGGACGACAAAAAATACGTTGATGGGAAAGCTGTAGAGGAGGTGAGAATGATGGACAGACAAGATTCGACCGAAGAAGATCCCCTTAAGCCTACCACCTCATATGCGACCGCAGTAACCAAGACAACACCCATGACACATACAACAGAAGACACGACAACGCCATTGACACAAGAAACACCCACGGCATCACTGAGTCAAACAACGGATAACGCTAAACACACCGGCCAGTTCGCTGCGTTCATGCAAGGGAAAGCAGCCCTAACCATGAACCCCAAGGACCACTCAGCCAGGCCAAAACACACATCAGCTGATGACAAGGTGAAGACAGGCAAGCGACCCAGCGGTGACTCACCAAAACAACACACGGGGAAAAAACCGACCACTAGATAGATACATGCGACCTTACACCAACAAGAATGGCTAGTTCAACGAATAAAACTAATATAGGACAACTCACAATGATAACCATCAACATCAAGGGGGCAAAAAAGAAAGCTGATCTAATAATATCACTCATAAACACCTTCAAAACAGACTACATCCTTCTACAAGAAACTAATTTTAAAAATAAGTATAAGGCAGATAAATTTATAAGTAGCTTAGGCTTAGAAACAACTGAAGCATACCATAGTTTAGGAGAGAACTGCAAGGGAACGTCAATAATTAAAACATCAGACAAATACAAGACATTGCAAACATACACCGACGAGAATGGAAGACTGGTGATTATAACAGTCGGGGACAACAGCACGCAGTTCACCATTGTCAACATATACGCCCCCGTGGTCAAATTAGAACAAAGGCTCTACTACAAGCATTTGAAACGTACCCTGAAAAAAGAGTACAAGGACAAGCCAATCATTCTGGCTGGGGATTTTAATCTAGTGATAGACAAGAAAGACTTGATAGTTCAAAACGATAGAGAAGAAATACGAATGGCAGAGGACAGAGAACAAATCCAGTCATTAAACAAAATAATAGAGCAGTTCAATCTAGTAGACACATTTAGGAAGCTACACCCACATAAGATAGAGACAACATACTGTAGCCCGTCAGGGAAAAGTTACTCAAGATTGGACAGAGTATATGTCAACACAAACAACACAATTAGGAAAGTAGTACACCTGAAAAGAACTTTACAGTACACAGATCACAAGGCGACACTGGTGATGTTAAACTCACCAGTTAGCACACGTCAACGCAACACATACTGGAAACTAAACAACGCCCTTTTAACAGAACCTATATACATCGCAAATATAAAGGAAACGATAGCAAGATTCATAACCACTCAACCAAGCACTAATTTCATAGATCTTTGGGAAACTTTCAAAATTGAAGTCAAGGAAATATCCATTAGAATTGGAACATATTTGAAGAGCGAGAGACAGAATAAAGAGAAAGAATGTTTAGAGACCCTGCACATACTAAAATCATTCCATGCTGGTGAAGATGTAGTGGCAAAGTACGAAGACGAACTGGAAGAAATTAGGAAATATAAATACAAGGGAGCCTTAGTGAGGAGTAGGTTGGACATAGCAGGAACAGAAGACCCGACACACCACAACATAATACTCGAACAAATCACTCAGAAAAACAAAAACATTCAGTGTATCGTGGACAGGGACGGCCAGGAGACTACAGACGAAAGCAAAATCACTCAGGCGTTTCACCAATACTACACGAAGCTGTACAGGAAAGAGCAAACAAGGGGAGACAAGGAAGACGAGTACCTGTGTAACGCACGCCGCCTAGACGACACGGACAGAGAAAAACTGGATGAACCTATCACAATAAAGGACATCGAAGAAACAATACGACAGTTAAAAGACAACAAATCCCCTGGACCCGACGGATTAACGGCAGAATTTTACAAGTCTTTCACTGCAGAAATAGGGCAACTTTTGTTAAACACGTTCAACGACATGACAGACAAGAAAATGTGCCACGAAAACTTCAACAGATCGTTCATCACCCTAATCCACAAGCCAAACACTGACGAAAAACAGATGAAAAACTACAGACCTATATCGCTACTCAATACAGATTACAAGATTTTAACAAAAACGTTAGTCAGAAAGTTAGAGCCTTATCTCCACAAAATAGTGCACACAGACCAGCAATGCAGCATCACAGGAAGGAACATCTTAAACCATACGCACTACATTAGAGACCTCATCCAATATACACATGAAAAAGAAGCACAAGCCTTTTTACTGAGCCTTGACCAAGAGAAGGCTTTTGATAGAGTGTCTCACAGCTTTTTACTTAAAATAATAGAAGCCAATAATCTGGGGAATTACATATGCACATGGATCGACATTATTTACAGGAATGCTGTTAGTCACCTTCAAATCAACAGATGCATCACAAGACCGTTCCAGATTCAAAAATCTGTCAGACAAGGCTGCCCTTTGTCCCCTGTGTTATATATACTGACATTAGAACCCCTTTTGGAAAAAATTAGGCTCGACACACAGATTAGAGGAATTGACTGTCCAAACACGCAGAACAGAAAACTTTTTGCTTACGCTGACGACACGACATTTAGCCTACAGACAGAAAAATCTCTAATAGCTGTAATCAACCACTTCCAAGATTTCGGACAAGCAAGCGGCACGAAAATAAATTTAGACAAGACGCAAATCATGGGCTTAGGACGATGGAAGGAGAAGCAAACTTACCCTTTGAACTTGAAAGCGACTGACAGACTGAAAATTTACGGAATAATTTTTGAGAACGATCCCCATAGAAAACACGAGGAAACTTGGGAAAAGATGACTGACAAAATCAGTAGTAAACTAAACAAATATAAAAATAGCGCAACTACCATCTTCGGACGAGCGGCCATCGTTAACAGATATATAACACCCAAGTTGATATATGTAGCCACAACATCAACCGTCCCTAAAGCCACCATTCAAGGAATCAATCAAAAAATCAGAGAATTCATTTTTAAGAACACAGTCAGAACCATTAACCACTGCACGTTAATTCAAAATAAATTACAAGGAGGGATAAACCTACATGATATCCAAACCAAAATCAACTCACTCAGAATAAAACACGTCGGCAGAATAGTCAGTGACCCCCCAAATCATCCGCTAGCACATTACTATTTAGGACTTAGACTGAACAAAATACTCAAACATAATAATAGCACGCCGCATTTCGGAGGAGAGAAATTAAGCGCTTTCTACATTGAATGTCTAACCAGCCTGAAAGGGAACGAAAAATTCATACACGAAAACACACGGAAGACCTACTCACATCTGATAAAGAAACTAGCCACTCCACTACATAACAGAATCCAATGGTGCAAAATATACAGCGATATAGACACAACAGAGACTTTTAGAAATCTTCATAGGAAATCCATCACACCCAAAGCTAGGGAGATCACATACAGATTGATCTTCAATTTGACTCCGATCTACCAAATTATGCCAGCTAATAAGAAGAGAAACACAGGT